TTCGCTAAGATAGTGTACGTATATCATTCTATAGATCCGTAACGGGCGACCAAAGGTATTTTCATATCATAGGGTTGTTCCGATAGACTTCTTGAGATCTACTCTCAGCTTGTCATTGGATAAGTTACAAGGCTACCGAGGTGTTCTTGCTGTGTTATTAAATCAAGTTTTGATGGATGAAGATATCGTCGTTAATGCATGTTTGGTTTATGAGAAGAGTCATCGAGCAGGGGCCGTATGCGGATCCTGATCCATGAATCTGAGTTCATGATTCAACTCACGCTCTGATCCTGATTCAGAATTCAAGTCACACCTTGATTCGAGAGAGCTGATTCAGATTCTTAGCTTAGGAGAAAGAGTCGAGATTTCTGAGTATGAGTACTTGAGACAGAGTCAGATTACATAATCATGAGCAAGATCCTTGATCCTTGATTTTAATCAGCCGCTGAATCCGATTCCTGATCCTTAATCACGATTCAAGATTCAAATCTATACTCAATGGCTGATTCAGAGTTTTTGGCACTGAGACAGAGTATTTCATCAATTCGAGATCAAATCCTCAGGGTTGGGGTTTTTACTCGTGATTCGAGATTAATTCTCAGGAGTCGAGATTGTTTTACTCATGCTCAAGGCTGCTCAGATTCAAGATCGCAATCTCACCTTGAGCATGATCCGGGATCATACTCATGATGCACAAACTCACAGTCTAACACGGGGATTAATCTTGATTCTGTACCGGGGGTCCGGACCCCCGGTAACAAACCCTGATTCTGATTCTCGACCTCGATTCACGGATTCAGCGCGCGCCACGGTAGACCTTCTCAGCTCCCTGCGAGTAGGTTCTTAGAATGACCGAACCGGGGGATAAAACCTCGGCTTCGACCCAGTGAAAGCACATCCTCCACCAGTTCAGCTGTGAGATTCTACGATACAAGGCGGTGCAAGGAGGTATAACGCACGTAGTACATACAGAATATCAGTGTAACCCTCCCCGGGAATAGAACCCCGGCTTCGAGCACATGAAAGGAGGTATAGCGCATGTAGTACATGCAGCCACACGCTGTGAACGACGCATTCCTTAAGTCAATTAATTGTTCGTAAAAACAATAGATGCCCTTCGTCGATCCTCTTGAGGGATTGTCCGATAACGACACCCGATCACGCTACCGGTTCTCGAAGGAAGCTCTAGAAGAAAGCTCTAGCGCTGAGCTTCCTCTTAGAATTTTCTGAGTCAGAAACCCAGAGTTAGTTGATTGCGAGTGAACATATTGAAAAGTCTGAAGTACGGATGTGTACAAGTGCGACAAAAGATCTTCTTCCGAAATTTTATCATTGTTGTAGCGTTGCATGCATTCGGGGCGAATCTGCCAGGTTCTACCCACGTAGAGTGACGAAATTGAAATTCAGTGACTGAAATTCAGTCACTGAATACAAGTCATCTCCCATGGTGATAGTGCTACGTCAGCTATCTACAAGATCCTTTCAACACCTTTCCCGAGACAACAATGTTTTCCTTGTACGTTGACATTGATCAAGTCCGACATGACATGTCAAGTGCTGCAATACTTTGATCCCACTTCCTCTCCTTTTTTCCCGCTGTTTTGTGATGTCTCATCAAGGGAGTTGCGCTGCCGGATGCTCATTCTGCTTTCGCTCAAGCGTTGCCATTGCTGCTCCTTTTGCTGTAAATCTACTGATTTTGCGGACCATCTACTACCTTTCCCCCAGCGGGTTCTAATATACCAATCCAGCAGGTCTACGATGCCTTTACCTCTCCGACAGCGACTTGTCTAATCTCAATTGTTGCCACGTCTTGCTTGCACGTAACTCTGCTATCAGTGAGCTGCTTCCTGATAATGAATTCTTGTACATGATTTGTACTGATGAGTGATACGCGAACACGCAGATGTAGATGTAGCTCGTTAATTAAAAGTTTGAATTGAATCGACTACAATGCTGTAAATTATAAAAAATGTTCTTGAAATATCAGTTTGTTCACCTTTTATCGGCATAATTCCGATGGATGCCTCCTAGCATTTTATCATTTTCAACTCTCGACTCTGGACTATCAGCCATTGTTGTGACTCCAAGGCATCGACGAT